GCGGCTCTTCTTCCTAGGAGGCTCCGTGTGTGCCGTTCCCTCTGGCTTCAACACTCATCCTCCTAAACTTTAACCTATTTCATTCCTACCTGTCTTTCCACACTTAGCACAAGCTTTCCTTGACTCTTGAAGCACCAGGTTTTCTTGTTTTATGCTTTTATAGCACCTTATAGCTCTTCTTTATGACTGCTCAACACAATTGTAACTCAATAATTAGTCATAAATTAGCTGGCTATGCCACTCTCTTACTAGGATGTAAGCTCCGTGGGAGCGAGGCTGTGTCTGTCTTATTCTTTATTCGCTCTGGTGCCCAGCACAGGGTTTTGAATAAAGTGGGTACTTAGTGAATATTTTTGGAATGAAAGATTATTTGAAAGGATTCCTGGTGTAGTCTTGCCTTCACAGAGAGGAACACCAAATTTTGAACACCAAATTAATTTGAGGTCAACACTAAATGGCGCTGGGTCGGTCAGTACCAGGCTTGGCATGATAAAGGTATGTGTAGGCTTTTAAGATTCACAGAATCTATTAGAATTATTTCCTGAGTCAGTATGTGCCCCAGTTTTCTCATTTGAACCTACAGGACTAATGGGCAAAAGAATAAATCTGGGCTCTAGGATAACAGGCTTCATATTTCCCCCCAAATTGGAGTAGGTGGAGTTGCTGTCTAGGATTTCCCTAAGATATCATATAAAGGCCTGTCTTGGCTTCCTTCTGTGGGCTCCTATAGACAGGCGAGGCCATGGAAACCTACCCTGTTATCGTAGCAGTCAGGGTCGGCCCCTTCAGCACAGCAGGCTTCTGTCAAGGAGACAACTTCCTTCAGAGATGACTGATCTGTTCAAATGTTCCACTGGGAAATTTTCTGCCAAAGGGGACCATTAATCTGAGGGGAAAACTAAAACCAATACATTAATTTCAAAACACACACAAGGATTCTGGGTTAGAAGAGGGGACAAGGGGGATAAATGGTGATGGAAGGAGACTTGACTTGGGGTAGTGAACACACAATACAATATACAGATGATGTGTTATAGAACTGTGCACCTGAATCCTACATACTTTTATTAACCAATATCACCCCAATAAATTTAAATAAATATTTAAAAAAAAGAATTCTGGAAAAAATATAACATATAGTACATGTATGCATGTATTTATGTGGAAGACGATGCTCATCATAATGGCAAAAGCACTTAGACAATCAAGTGGGTAAACACTGAAACAGCTGTGAGCCAAAACTGCTTCCTGGAGTGTTGGAAGACCCTGCTGTACATAAATATCAATGGCCATCTATTGTGGTATTGTGGTTTTGGAAGGATACCATTGGGTATATTTTGAGGTGCACATGTTTCTTTATAATTCAGGCTACTTCACAAAATATCAATATCAGTTATTTAAAAAGCAATCTCTTCTTTATCGATCACCCCTTATTTTCATCTACCTATTTTATTTTCCCGCGGCAGAATCTCTTGGAGCGCCTGTGTTCTCTAAGGAAGGGAATTAGCATTCACTGATTGTTTATCATATGACAGACACTGCGGTGAGCAGTATCCTTTCATTTGCTGTACCAGAAGCCCTGTGGTAGAGCTCCGTCCGTCCCACTTTACAGATGAGGAAACTGACGCAGCATGCTTGCCCCGGGCCACAGGGAGTGAGGGGCAGTGCCTGGCCCAGTCTCTCTAACTCCACCGTGGCCATGCAGAAGCAGGATTTGATCTCATCTATCTGAAAATTTTTTTTCAGGCTATGACTTTTCAAGCCTTCTATATGCCATCAAAACATACACCATTTCTAATTACTAAAATGTAGTGTTCAACTTCCTCTTCCTTGTAACTATTTTGTAGCTTTTGATTTCCTAGACTTGGGTCATCTCGACTGTCATCTTTTTTCTGAGTGAAGCACATTAGGTGTGGACCACATTTTTTGGCCCTTTCTCTTTTGACTTTCTCTGGGCCGCCTCTAACTCCCCTATAATTTTTTTTTAAAATTGTGTCTTCTAGAACTGCAAAAACAAAAACCAACCAAACAAAAACTCCCCCCAAAACAAACAAAGAGTACTGATGCATGGGGTAGTGTTTTTTGTTTTGTTTCCAGTATCTGACCATGATGCCCAGAATACTGTTACCTTTTTGGACTCAGCAGCAATTGTATTCTTTTTGGAGAACATAAAAGTTTACAGATGATACTCAGAAGCCTCAGGTCCATCTTAGACCTCAGGTGCTCGAGCATATATTTCTACAGGGGCATCTAGATGGGGAACAATCGGAGCCTTTTATGTGACAGTCAGGTGTGTTCAGTTGCCCTCCTACTCCCTCCTCCACCCCTATCTCCACCCAATCCGCATCCCCCTAAGCACCTTTCAAGCAATAAAGGAAAAGGGAACAAAGGTAGTAAGAAGGCAGAGCTCTGGAGGGGAGCCCGTTGCTCCCATCCTCAATCACATACTGTTTCTACCAACTAGATATAGGTGGGCAGGATGCATGTCCAGAAGTTTATCTCGCTTCAGATTTCAGTCTTGCCAGCTGTTGCCACGGTCAGAATGACTTGGCTTTGGTGTCTGTACACACCACCAGGCAGTCTGCATAAGATGTGGATATTCTCACAGCAGCTTTCCAAAAAGACAGAAGCTTTATACAGAAAGCTGGCTCAACCATTTTGTAAATTGATCACACCAAAAGAGGAGCCTTGATTTTTTTTCATTCACTGTGCAAAAACCTGGGAGGGCAGCGTCAAAATTATATGGCATAATATTTAGTCTGGGAAACGGGAGACCTGCACGTAGGTGCTGCTTTATTTCTTTGCTTTGCTTTGTTCAACGACAAAACCATGCAATCTTGGTCAAATGCTTTTACCAGTCTGAGTTTCCACATCCCCCACCTGTAAAAGGGGGATAGTGACACCGACTGCGTGTGGTGGTTGTGAGGATTGCACTCTTTGCAAAGCACCTGTATTTCAGTTCCCTCTCCCTCATTTGCTAGGGCTGGGCTGACGCGCATCCTACTGTGCGCAGCACTAATTCCTGAAGGGCCTGGGCTCACGGGGGGAGTTCATTAGTATATATATCTGGGGTGGGGGCTGGGGAACGTCAGAGGAGGGACCTTTGATTGTGTGAGCTAGCATTTGATTAGAATGGCACACTCTTGAGCCTTTTATAAAAACCACTGTGACCTGTGATTTTTTTAATAAACCAGACCTCAAATTTTGTTTTTTGTTTTTTGTTTTTTTAGTATATTTGGGATATTAAAGGCAAGTCTGGTCACTTAGAGCCCAGGAACAGGAACAAAGCAGTTAGTATTGGATCTTGACATTTTATTCTATCTTTCAGACACTAAGCCTTGCACATACATGCCAATAGTCTAATAAAACCTGTGAGAGATGGTCCATCTTATGACATTTGGGGAACTTTAGTGGGCTTTTCAGATGGTAAGCCTGAAACCTATATGTCCCTAATAAAAAAGCCAGGGAGTCAGACAATGCTCAGCCTCCTATTGAATGTGATCCAACATTGCTGTTTTAAAGAAGGCAAGGATGTTCTAAAAAATATTACACATAATCTTGATTTCTGTCGTAAATTTGATAGTACTAGAGGCAAGTAGTTGTACTGGTTACGAGTGGAGTCTAGAGCTGCACAGACCTACGTTTGAATCCAGGTCCCGCTCTTACTAGCAGGATGACTGTAGGCAGAGATCAGACCCTAAGGTTCACATTGCCTCTGGAAGCCCCACCTTTGGTTTTTAGAAGAGAATTGATTACTGTGACCGCAGCAAGGGCTGTTGTGAGTATTAAATGAGATAATGTAACTGAACCATGGCACTTAGTACATTATAAAATTGGTTACTATTTTAATTATCATTATTGTTTTCCCCAAGTGAACACAGTTCATGAATGTTCACTTTCCCTAGAACTTTATTCCAGCCCTGACTCAATGATCTACTATTGTTGGGTTGAGGAGAAGCACTGATGCTTAGGCCAGCGTTGTAATTTCTGTCCATCAGGCCGATCGTTGGAATTGTTTTCAATAGCTTTCATTAATGGGTTGACAAGTGTGATTATAAGCATGTTCATGGAAAGTATTAATATTTTTGTTTCACATATATATGGAATTATTATTATTTTTAAATATGTTTTTATTGATTTTTAGAGAGAAAGGAAGGGAGAGGGAGAAAGAGATAGAAACATCAATGATGAGAGAGTCATTGGTCGGCTGCCTCCTGTGTGCCCCCGACTGGGGATGGAGCCTGCAACCCGGGCATGTACCCTGACCAGGAATCAAACCGTGACCTCCTGATTCATAGATCGATGCTCAACCACTGAGCCACGCAGGCCAGGCTGTATGGGATTATTTTAACCTTAAATCCTTAGGGTGCTATCATTATGGAGTTTACTGCCTCATCTCCCCCCAAATAAATACAAGTAATAATATCTATCAAATTGAGTAGGCTGTCTTAGTAACTATCATGTGTGGGGGGGTTCCTGTTAAAGCAAAACACCATATATATAATATGGTTAAAGTGTGGCTGCTGAATTAGAATTACATCTCTTTTATCTAATCTACCCTGGTTATTCTGCATGTAATTAAAGGTGTTTAATGCATGTAAAGCTTTTCATGATTAATGTGTCTTACGAGGCCTGTACAGTAACATAAAGTAAAAGTAAACAAAGTACTTCATTTCTTGGTGCTGAACGTCTTATGACTGTGCATATTATCTGCATTGTACAGGTTGTGGGTAAAAATGGAAGAGTTCACAGCTTTATTTCCCCACACCCAAACCTTTTACTTCTGGCACCTTCATGCAATTCTTTTAATTTCTTAAGAGTGAATGTTCAGTATCAGTAACTTTGGGTATTTAGTATCAGTTGAGCTAGTTCAACTGACCTTATGTTACTCTGTGTCAAAGTCTAAGGACTAGGATTTCTAGGATGGGGAGATATGGGTATAGAGATCCAGAGTTACCAACCCTTACAAATAAAGATATTTTCTTTGTGCTTTTTTCTAGAAGCACCATCAGACTCTCAGTTAAAGAACAAGCAATATGGTAAGTCATAGTCTGAGTGTTAAGTGCTAGCTTAGTCTAAGAAACCTTCATGACAGTGTATTAAGAAATGCATACTAATACAATATACAGATGATGAAAATCTAGGAAAACTACATACTTGGTTAGTAAAGACTAATTGCTGATGAAGGCTTTTTGGGTCTTTCTTTGAAGTGGCTGATCTTTCCCACCTGCTTTCAAGTGGCTTATTTCTCCTCTTTAAAGTTATAAAAGAGCCCTCCAGGAGAAACACCATGCCTATAGCCTATGAGACCTACTCTGAAGTTCCCTGGTGGTTTACACTCTCTCCACTTTGGATCTGAGCAGTCTGGCCAGGCTGGATCGAGTCTGAAACCCAGTTATATGTCCTTGGCTGGGATCAAACCCGGGACCCGTCAGTCCTCGGGTCGATGCTCTAACCACTGAGCCAAACCGGCTGGGGCAGTTGTAGGTATTTTTATTCAACAAGCATTTGTGCAGGACTTATCATAGGCCAGCTGTTTAGAGCCTGAAGGAACCATGGGTATCGCCTTCAATCACTTCGTTTCATACTTAAAGCTCAGAAGGGTCAAAGGATTTTTCCCACACCACTCAGGTTGCTGGTGCTGGGCCAGGATTAGACCTAGATCTCAGACCCTGTGCTCCACCAACATCATGCTTTTTTAAACTTTTCATCGAGGTTTTTGTTTGTACCTAGACATTCATAATATTCTTAAATTTTCCCTAAAAGTTTTCAAATGTTAACAAGTGTCTCCTAGCTTTTGTAACCAGAGAACAAGGATGCCTTGTGCAAAATGGACCTAGATCTTTACCTTATGTTCCCAATCAGAGATTCATGATACATGTTTGCATATTAACAAGTCCCCATTCATTTCTTCCTTTCTACTTCTGTAGCTACATATTTACATTTTATCATAGTTTGGTTTGCCTTATAGGGTAAGGCAGGAGCACTTTAGTACAAGGACAAGAGGTCAGGAATACTTAGTCTATATAAATTGCATGGAAGATGTCACACACACACTTGGCCACCTTTGCAATAGGAAACCACACTTGGCAATATTCTGATCAATATGTTACCTGAGCCTAAGTCAGTTCCAGTAGCTGGAGAGATAAAAGGAGTTATAAATGAGTGGAATTGTTTTAAGTGAAAGAAATTCCAAAAAACAAATCATTAAAGTGATATTCTTTGTAAAATAGTTATTTCAGATGTGGATAAGTATATGTTTTGGCCTGTGGGTACAAAGAGCCCAGAAATTCATTCTTTCCTCCTAGAACGAAAGGAAAATTTACAATGTTAATTTTAGGAGCTTGACATTCTTTACTGGGTTACCAGGTCTGGCTTTAAGCCAGAGTGTAAAGCACTGAGGAATAGAATTTTTCTATTCTTTGAAGAAAGTTCTTTATTTAGTCAGAACCACCTACAGTGGAAAAAAGCTAAACTATTCAATTTTATTTTAAAATATAGATAAATAGTATCTTAGCAGCTCAGAGCCCGCTGGTAAAAGTGGATTGTTTACATGGGAAACTATGACTGGAGCTTGAGAATATGAGCTGGAAGCAGTAACATGGCCAAGCAATAGGAAAACTTAAACCAAAAACTTGGTAATGAGGTAACCTGGTTCACCTTTATTATTTATTCTCCTGGTGAATTTTTACTGTTCCTTTCTTTACAAACTTAGCTGACTTCTTCAGTTATTGAAAAGTAAAGCTAGCCCGGCCGGTGTGGCTCAGTCGCCATTCGACCCATGAACCAGGACGTCACGTTTCGATTCTCGGTCAGGGCACAGGCCTGGGTTGTGCGCTCGATCCCCAGTGGGAGGAGGCGGCCGATCCCCAGTGCAGGAGGCGGCCGATCAATGACTCTCTCTGCTCATTGATGCTTCTAGCTCTCCCTCCCTCTCCCTTCCTCTCTCTGAAATCAATAAAAACTTTTTAAAAAATTTTTATTTTTTTACACTTGATCTTAGCCAAAAGGCCGAGAAGCGATAATTTTTATTTTTTTTAAGTTTCTTTATCTTTATTGTTGAAAATATTACAGATGTCCGCCTTTTAACCCCACTGATCCCCTCCACCCCACATCCATCCCACCCCAAGGCTTTCCCCATACCAATGGCTGTCCATGGGTTGTGCTTATAAACATATAAATTCTTTGATTAATCTCTCTCCACCCACACCCTCCCCCCCCGCCTTCCCTCTGAGATCCCTCACTTTGTTCCATGCTTCCATGTCTCTGGATCCTCTTTGTTCATCAGTTTATTTTGTTTATTATATTCCACATATAAGCGAGATCATGTGGTACTTGTCTTTCTCTGACTGGCTTATTTCACTTAGCATAATACTCTCTAGTTCCCTCCATGCTGTGCCAAAGGCCAAAAGGTCTTTCCTCTTTACAGCTGCGTAGTACTCCATGGTGTGAATGTCCCACAGCTTTTTTACCCACTCATCTACTGATGGGCACTTGGGCTGTTTCCAGACCTTGGCTACTGTAAACTGCGCTGCTATGAACATAGGGGTGCATAAGTTCTTTGTGATTGGTGTTTGGGGTTCCTTAGGATATATTCCTAGAAGTGGGATCACTGGGCCAAAGGGAAGGTCAACTTTTAATCTTTTGAGGAACCTCCATACTGCTTTCCACAGTGGCTGCCCCAGTCTGCATTCCCACCAGCAGTGTACCAGGGTGCCCTTTTCTCCACACCCTCGCCAGCACTTGTGGTTTGTTGACTTGTTGATGGCAGCCATTCTGACAGGTGTGAAGTGATACCTCATTGTGGTTTTAATTTGCTCTGATGATTAGCGACATTGAGCATTTTTTCATGTCTTTTAGCCATTTGTATGTTTTCTTTGGAGAAGTGTCTATTTAGGTCCTTTGCCCATTTTTTTTTAAAAGAAAAGGAAAGCTTTTTGTTTTTTTATAATGATGAAACAACAGAACTACAGTTAATGGGAAAGGTGGAAAAAGGATGAGTGAATTATTATTTTTGTTTTAAATAATTTAATTATGTGCCAAAATTATTATTATGAAATTAAAAATCAAACTTGACTTGGAGAGCCCTGGAAGAATGGGAAAACCTAGGAGGCTTTCTGGGAGAGCTCATCGGATTCTGTGAGCCCTTCTAGCTGCCTTCGTTCAGGTGTCCCGTCACTCCTGGAGCCTTGGGGATACCTGGTTGGGCTGTACCTTGAGCTGTCTTCAGAAAGCCTGAAGCATTTCCCTGTGCCCAGCTGTGCTGACCTTTCTATAGAGCTGCTCGAAAGGATGCCGCCCAGGTCCTTTCTGGCTTGAAGATGGTCCCCCCTCACTGTGTCCTCACATAGCACCGGGCTAGCTCTGATCTCTTCCTCTTCTTAGAAAGACCCTAATCCCATCATAGGGGTCCCACCCTCATGACCTCACCTACACCTAATGACATCCCGGAGACTCCGCCTCCAAATACCATCCTCTTGGGAGTTAGGGCTTCAGCATAGGAAGTTAGGGAGGCTGCAAATACTCAGTTTGTCGCCATGTCCGTCGCTTTATCTGTGTTTTCACATTCCCCGGACCGTTTTGTGTATTTTTCTTCTTTTCTTTACCTGATTTTGGATTGGCTAATTTTTCTTATTCTATTTTCCTTACTATACTGTTTTCGAAGTAATATATGCTGATTCTACTCTTTTAAAATTGCAGCATGCCTACTTATTAAAGTTTAAAATTCATGAATGTTTCACCACTTTCTACACGATACAAAAAGCCTACAGTGCTTCAACTCCTGGATTACGTTCTCTAACTGTGGTAATTTTATCTTGTTTTATTTAACCCCACAAGACTTTGTGATTATTGCTTTCTACAGCCAGTGGTCACTTTCTTCCTTCTGCGCCCCTTCTCTCATCAAAGACCTTCCATCTGGCTCACTTTTCTTCTCTCAGAAATATATGCCTGCTTAATATACTTTAACGAGATCCTACCAGTGGCATATTCTCTTGTTGTGTGTTTGTTTGTGCCTGAAATTGCCTTTATTTCACCCTTTTTCTTGAACACAGTGTCACTAGGTACAGAATTTTACATTGGCAGTTGTTTTCTTTCATTACCTCTCTCCTTCCTCTCCGCTCTCTCTTTCTGGAAATCTGATTTGATATGTTAAAACTTCTCAATCTACACTCAGTATAGAAGCTATTCTTTAATATTTTCCATTCTTAGTTTCTCTGTGCTGCACTCTGAACAATTTACATTGATTTACTTTCCAGTTTGCCAGTTGTCTTGTTAGCTGTGTCTAATCTGACCTTAAAATTTACCCATTAAATTCTACATTTCATTTACTATGTTTTTACTTCCAGATGAAATTTTCTTTATTTTTGAAGTTTCTAGGTAATTTTTTATAGTTCTTCACATTTATATTCAAGTTTGTCTCTTATTTCTGAAAAAAACCAAAACAAAGCAGTAGGCATAGATGTTTTATAATCCGGGACTAATAATTTAAATATCTGAAAACTTTGTGAGCCTGCTGTTGCCTGTTAATGATCTAACTTTTTTATAGTGTCCTGTTTCCTTATGCAATGTGTTATTTTTTCATTGTGAGTTGCATATATTCTTTGGAAAATTACTTTTGATGATTATTAGAATATAGATGCATTCCAACAGGAGTCTGTTGCTGTTTGTCTGTCAGTGTTCTAGGAGCACCTGTGGATTGACTCCACTTTAGATTACTTGCCATACACTGCAAATTCAAATGAGGGTGTTTCCTTCCATCATTCTGCTCAGTGTGAAGGTGGCTTTCTTAAGGGTGCGGTGGGTTTCAGTCTGAGGCATAGCCCACTGGAGTTTCAACTTTAAGGAGGGATGATTTCCTACTCACTCATCTTGAGCAGCCTCTGGGCTGTCTTCTGTCCCTCTTGCTCTTTGAATATGCTAAGCTGGTAAATTTGAGCCTGTAGTGACGCTAGTAGTATCCTTCTCTCTGGGTTCTTACTTTCTCTTAGATTTTGACCTGGCATTTCTTCACTGGTTTGTCAAATTTTCAGTGCTTTTA